GATGATCGAGTGAATGAGACAATAAGTTGCTAAACACAAGTAATAATTCCAGCAGAAACTTTCCAAATTGTGCATGAGAAACAAGAACTAACTTTTCTTTCCATTCTACATTTCACTTACACAAATTTTTCCACTTAACAAATAAATATGCAAGCAAGCAATACAACTGTTCTGTACTCACCAATATAGATCATATGTGAATACTTCCCGCAATAAATTACTAGCAGGGTCAGATGAGTGCTGTAAAAATAGAAAAGTATTATGTACAACAGACACAAATATTGTAAAAGCAATTTTGAAGATCCAATTAAGCACACAAAAACTGTTCTCTGGAGTAGCCAGAAGATATTTCCAAATGTTAATATAAAAATGTCACTGATAACTGGATTTAAAGTATTATTAATTTCTATTACCACCATGAAATTAATTTTACTCTGCATAACCTGAATAAACTAAAAGACATTTCAGAACTACAGTGGCAATGGTCAAATCTGGAATACAATGACTGTCAGGATTTAAATTCAGGCTGTAATTTAAATGCATTAATAGACTGTGATGCCGTGATATTTGCATACAGAAACAAATATTTTATGGAGGTCCATTACTCTCGACTTTGTTGTTCAATTACGGGCCAGTGGAAAGAGTTTAGTAGGCCAGATTTGACCTGCAGACTACTAATTGCGTAGCCCTGACACAGGCGACATGGTGGTGGTGATCCCAAGAGCTATGCTGGCGGTAGCATAGCTACTGGCAGGGCCTCCCTAGCCAGAATGATTGAGGGGGAGAGGTCAGACTAAGACAGGTACCCTGGTCCTCCAGGTTGGGGGTTGGTCGCAAGGCTAACAACCTTGCACCGTAAAAAGGTAGATGTTTTGAAACCTCGATAAAAGCCTCGGACAGATGGACCTAACAGAGGACCGAATGGAAGAGGAGAATTGAGGAGGCCATGAACCGAATACAGACCGGAGAGCCATAGAAGAAGAAGACGACACAGGCGACATAGCATAACTCTGGTGGAATGACTGTAAATGATGAATTTGGAAAGCTGTGACCTGCCAGTGACCCTTTATAAGACACTAATCTCAATATCTGCTTTGAAGAACTAGGGAACCCAAGCCTTCTTTGACATGAGCTGAAGTCTAACCAATGCATTGCAGTGGTCAATGGTTAAACTTTAATACATATAACATTACCAGAGACATGTCTACAAAGCATTTACCTAAAAGAGCCTACTACTTTACTGTATGGTAGATGATCCTTAGATACTGCAATAAACCACTAACCTGAAAGAGGTTGTTGAAGTATGCATACTGCCTGGCAATGTTGCGGCATTGCTTTAGTGCTGGTTCTGAAAAAATTACATTTATATTGTCGCATGTTACAGTTTTCATAAAGCACAATTAAACTCGCATAAAATGTTCCTGTCTGAGATCTCTCATATGATCATCTAACTTCCCATCTACAGGGACTCACTGACAGCTTCAAAATCTCAGGTCATCAGGCTAACTGCTTCTTTCCAGAAAACTACCCATAAATCCATAATTAGTGCTCAGAAAATAATGGACCAATCTTTATAATGTAATAATAAATTCCAAACATTATGTAATACAAATTCTAACAAGAAGAAGATAAAGAAAGTATCGGCATTTCAAGCAGGACAATGTTATGGTCAACACAGCTAATAATTCTATAAATATATTATCTGACCTTCTTTGTGAATATGTGAAAAGTTACCTGCGTTACATCCTTGTGACTTTTATTCATAGAGGCACACAAAAGATAAAGTAAAAATCTTCATTCACTACAAGAGTTGGGGAAAAAGAAATTGTAGAAATTTCTGTTATTCCAACACAGTAACTTTGATTTTTACTTGTAAGAATTAAATACCTCACTTTTTAAAGCAACATTAAAACAGTACACCATCATGTTATTTACTAACCAAGTGAAGGTGATCCCTTCAACTCTTGCAGTTCATTAGTTTTGAAGTACAACACAGTGGTGTACTCTGTTGGGAGGACTGCAATATAAGGCTTCCAGAATGAATCAGGCTTGAACTTCTCTATAAGCAACAGCAGAGACAAGGCCACATTTGGCATATGTTGCAGCATTGCATCCTTCTGCAAGAGTGGACCTACATGTAACACACAAAATATGAGTCATATTCTTTTAGAACAAATGGAGCATATAACAAGTACAAAGTTTTCAATCCAGTAATTTTTTTTAAACCATTATTTTCAAAACCTGCCCAATGTAAAATTCACTAAATAATTCTATCCTCATATTAAGGCTTCTTTTGTGCTACCAACTGTTGTAGTTAAGAGACATTTGTAAAGAAACAGACACATCACCAAAGTACGTATGTCAGGAATTCACAGGCTTAAAGATCACTTCTGTTAATAGTTTATTTAATTCAATAATGCATGAGGAAAATTGTAAGATATTAGAAATTACCATTCAATTTATGTCCCCCTTTTACAATAGGTACAATAGTAAATTCTTTGCATTGGTATGATATACTTCATTACATCAGACAGACATGTACCAGTAAGGAACGTTTAAGTCTGATCGCAGCATTCTCTTATTTCAGAGACTTACAAATGTTTCAAATCTACAATGGAAAACTCATCTCCAGGATTTCTTCTCAGCGATTCCTTCACACAATGTAGAGAAAAACAGTAGTCAATTTTTAAGTATGATTCTTCATCCAAAACATGCTTAACAGAAACTCAACATATGTACAAACACACCTAACAAAGAGCCTTCAACATTCTCTGCAGTCAACATCACTTTTCGAGGAACTGCAATCAAAAGGTCACCTTGTGAAAAATTTTTGTTTGCTTTGATTCCATACTCATAATTTGGAAACTGTGCAATTTCTATGCCATCAATTTCAGCTCCATTTTCCTTCATCCATGTTTCAAATTCTTCAATGCGAGTACCTCGGTCTGCCACCAGAATCCTCATATCTGAAGAAAATAATGTTAAACATGAAAATGTTTGCTCTGCATTCTACATTTAATTACTGTTCATAATACTAGTGGTATTAAAACATGAAAAGCAAATGTAGAACAAAACACATTTTCCCATAGCCAATAAAAGAGTAATTATCACACCTTCACATACACAAAAGAATCATATCAGCACTTAAGAAAGCTACATGTATTTTGTGTTGTATTATTGTTCTAAATACTGAGAAATGATGCAACATTTTGTCTGGAAAGTATGAAAGAAACAGTTCAATGGGGCGAGCTAAGAATAAATATGTTAACAATATTAAAATCAATCTATTAAAAAAAACAAGATGCAAAGGTCTATACTTCATTAAACTTACCTAGGATAAAAATCATTAGCAAGTTTCTGTGAACATTATGATAATCCTTCTGGTTCTATAATAAAAAAAGTCACTTGACAAATTGCAGTTAAAAAAAGACCTTGTTTCAAGAAGTTATACAAACACTCCATTATGAAAAGAATGTGAATAGTTCAGTATACTGGACCCAACACATTAGGTGTCCCTCCCTTTTTAAGTAAAGACAAAGGAAGATCCATCCTTCAAAATGTTGTGATTCCACTGTTTGAACTGATCAGCCACTGTCTTAGCCACATTAAAAATATCACTTCTGAACGAAAATAAGAATGTCAGGCACATTTTATTTTCTCACTTATAATTTTAAAAACTTTTTTTATGTCAAAAGCTATATAGCTGCTGATTTTAACGTTATACCTGATTCTATTTTGCTGATCTTCTCCAGGAGCTTTTCTATTTCCAAATGATTTTCCCATTCTTTATTAGCATTAGGAGCAGACACAATGGTACTACTAACTGAAAAATAAGCAAATACACATTATAAGAAAGCTACTCCCAAGTGCTACCACATTCCAACCACACTTGACAAATCAAAAGAAGATGATGCCACTACAACACATTGGTACTATTCATACTATAAACAAATCACATACCTGGAAAATGTTATCTAGAAAAATCAGGAAACAGCAGCATGCAAACATGCTCTCCCTCTCTCACAAACACGTGAACAAAACATAAATTAGTACTATGTATGTATATGGAATACAAATCCAAGCATGAGCAGTAAAAATAATCAAATAATAATATATGACAGTGTTTGGCCAAAAAGCATTCACAGGGAATGCATGAAAAGAACTGTCTTCGTCATATCAGACATTACATTATTTGTTCATAAACCTATTTCTTTGCAACATTTCATTCTCCCATAATACCAATGAGTGTCTAAACCTTCACCAAAGTATAACTTCATTTTGTGACTTTCTGAAGGTACCTGCTATTTTTCAATTATTCTATGACTTTGCAGAAATGCAACACAACTCCCATCACTTTCAATTAAAAGACAAAAAATTACTGACAAAAATGTTTGGACTATATACAACATATGCAAGAAGACCAGGTACCAACAAAAATTGTACAATATGGAGTAAAAGAATTGAGATATATTGGAAGACCTCAAAAGAGATGGATAAATCAGAGTGGTGTCACAACAGACTAGTTCCATTGACAGAAGAAGTAAAAGAATAAAACTATCTTATAATTTATGTTCAAGTATTTTTGTCTTTCACTAAACATATCACGATAAAATTTCCTTTACCTTCATGAAAAATTACAGTGACACTGAATTCTGATCTACAGTACTGGGGAAACAGACCTCACAATGTGCTTATACCCAAGCTATGATTAATGCATGCTATGTCAAGTATCTTGCACAATGTTTTTAATTTCTTCCTCCCTATTGTTTAAAGCTGGCGTGTTGCAGACAAGGCTTCTTCCAACACTTTCACTTCAATTTTATTTCCTACCACCTCATTTATATTAAAAATACCTTTATTCTGTCATCAGTCAAGTTCTAGGTCACAGAGGGTATGAAAATATGCTGCTTTATCAGGTTTATTGCTCACCTCATGGGGCAGAGTTTGATAAGTAAGGAGCAATGGTGGAATGATGATTAGCAGTGGGAAACTGAAAAGCATTGGGAAAACCTCCTCTAGTGTCATTTCGTCTACCTTGAACCTCACTTGAAGCTGTAAGGGTATAATTACCTTAAACTGGCCTAACCAATGCAAGCCTAACCTAAATATATTATTGTTAGACTGGATAGCTTAACCACACAATTCAGAGTTCAGTGACGGTCTAATATGTCAGGAAAATTTCAACAGAATGTAATCATAAATCATAACATCCCTGCATCAAATAGTTCGCCCTTACTCCAAAAAGGGCAGTTTGGGATGATTAAACTCTCGAACTTCAAACCGTTCAAACGTCCCCTTGTTCCCTTTTTTGGCAGTCTCTAACGGTGAATACCTGAAATATTTTACTCACCTTTCAAAAGTTTTTCTACCAAATGGTTTACTTCATTTCTTTTTTGGGGAGATAATGTTTTGGGTAAACTTTCAACATTTATCTCCTGGACTGGAAGTGTAACTCCTCCGTGTGTCTTCCCGTGACTCTTCTTGCCCATTCTGTGTCTTCTGAAATTACATTGTTGATCTTAAATATACCATTAAATAATAACATATAAATACGTATTTTATTATTACAATACCTAAAATGTGTAGATTACACCATCCTTCATCATATCTCTTTCACACATCCAACTATGAACCTTTACCCCACTTGCTGTTCTATTTATGTATTAGCACAGATGAAGTAGGCCATGGTACACGAAGGATATCATTTTGCAATAACATGGTGTTCTATGAAAAGTATTAGAGAAAAAATTGACAGTGGAACCACGGTTCCAGAGAATCTGACGTAAATATGTTTTTGTATTTAAATTATATTTAGGTAATGAATACGGCGAAAGGAAGTTTATATATTAGCTTGATAACTTGCAATAATTGCTTCTTGCGATTTCTATATTCCCTCATACGTTCAGCATTAGTTTTTGGTATTTTTTTGGGGAACTTCAGATCATTATTTAATACTTCTATTTTTTACGTTTTCTGTACTGTCTCATATATCCTGCATTACGGACTCTTTTAGCTTCAATGTCATCCATCTTGTTATCTCTACATAGTAAGACGCAACACACAAACGCAGGGGTAGCGTAAAGTGGGATGCGCCTTTATCCCTTACCTCAAACTTTGTTCAGTTGTAAGTGACCACGATGTCCACCGGCAATGACCAGTTTAATCAAAACTAAAATGGAGAGAGTGGAGGGCAGTATCACAGATTTCTTAATAATTCTTTTATAAGATAAGATATTCTAAAACGTCTTTAACAGCACAATCTTATCTACTCTACGACGCAATTCACAGCTCAACTCTTTCCGCAATAACGAAAGCGGAATGTTGACGGCAGTAATGAAACACAAACAATGCCGAATAAACAGATGATATAAAAATTAATAGCAGGGCAGAATACTAAGAAATAAAATATTTTTGTAAAATTCCTTTAAAACCACATTCATGCAAACTTATTCCGATTGCAGAAAAGTCAAAATTAGTCAACATTGCACATATGAAAGCAACAGTAGACTCGACATGTAATTTCAAAGTTAATCCACACTAAACTGCCTTCCCCCTTTCAAAATCATCTGTAGTGATACAAATGCACCCTTGTGGATTAAAATGAAGTCTAATACCAAGCCATTCCATTGTTTTCATTGGCTAACAGACAAATCCCTTGAATATTCAGTTGTATGAACACTGTACATCAACAGTTATCCATTTACAAATAGAAACTATACTGATAAAAGATGGCATATAGATGCTCAGAACTTCTTTCAGGGTATGAAAACAATAATTCAACAACATGCTCTGTGAGAACACATCTTTCAAGTTTTACTTGTTGTTAGGCTAGAGATCCATACCTGCTGTGGTTTATTCAATGTCTATAGTTCAGACTATATAGATTTTGTACTTGTCCACTGTGCAAACTGGAAAACCACAAACAAAACTTACATTCCCACAAAAACTACCAATTCTGCATTTCAAATTCCAGTAAATTATGTGAATCCAAGTGGAACTAGTGCCAACAAGGAAAAAGGTTATCTCATAACACACTCTGTATAGACTGTGTAATTAATAGATATCATAATAATGCAAATGAAACTAGAACATGCTTACAAATCCATCCCCAAAGCAAACATTTTAATCACACACAGGAAAATCTAAAGATAACTGCCACCTTCAAGTAACTTACTTTCAATTCTATCCTTGTTTTCTATACTGTACAAAGTGTTACAAAATATAACTCCATTTTTGGTTCATGAACTTATCGACACACCTAAGTAATATCACATTTACCCATACAATTACATAAACATACTGATAAACAATCAAAAATCTTATGTTCTTGTTTCAAACATGTCTACAAAACCAATTTCTGAAAACAAACTGCATCAAAGTATAGAAGCCAAATACACTGGCAATTAAAAGGTCCAAATGTAGGAAATTAGAAACACTAAGTATGTTACTAACAAATCAAGGTGCAATCCATGTGAGAGTAACCTGCATACAAATAACTGATTTGTTACTGAACTGACCAAATGAAATTAAATCTATTCCAAAGTGCATTATCAACTGGATGAACAAATGGCCAACAAGTATGTCAGTTTAATGAACTCCAAATGTGGAAACCTAAGGACAATAAGATTGTCAGTTCTTTATTGAACATAAATTGGAACAGCCAGAATACATACGAGTTACAAAATAGCAACATGAAACAAGTGATGACAAAACACACGATTTCTTCATTTCTGTAGTAGGATGCCATGCTGTACACAATGTATGCTGTATTTTTACAAGCCAGATATTTCACTGTGGTGGTTGGAGCTGCTTCTTTTGCCGAACTTGAGCTGCAATACGGTCAAGATCTCTGCGACCTTGAACAGTGAGCCTACGTCCACCATCACCAGTCTTCTCGATAAGCTTCAGCTGTTCAAGTGACTGCAATGCCTTACGTGCAACTCCACCTGCACCTCGGCAAAAATGTGATGGGCATACACCATTTCGCTGACGTCCTGTAATGACATTTACTTTTTGGAATAGATTTTTAACAAGATCTTAAATAACAAGTAGAATTACAGACAGAAATACATGAAGATCAAAATGTCTGGGCTTTCCTACTCGCCGGGGCTTCAGCGTTACTGCCTTTGCCTTCCAGCGGCCGGGTATAGGCACGGAGCTTTAACGCCATCCATTTTCAGGGCTAATCTTTAAAAAAACCCAAAATCCAAAAAGCCTTACTGTTCAGATAAGAGGTCCTGTATTATATGTTTGACTACTTTCTGCTTTTACACACCCCTCTATTTAAAATGAAGCGGTTAGAAGACTACAAACATCACAGTTCTGTCCAGAATCTCCTGTTCAGATCACAACAAATTCCTTTCTGAGCAATCACTTCATGGAATAAATAATGTATGCAATGTATATCATCACCTCCAAATATTTTAGTAACAGCGCCAACACCAACAGGAGAACGGAAATAAATGTGCCTGGCAAGTGCAGCACATCTAGTGTAGTACCAATCTTCATCATATGGCGCCAGCTCTTTGAATCTTGCACTTTTCACAAGGTCCACCCATTCTGGCACTTTCATTTTGCCAGTCCTGAGAAGAAAATTGTTAATAAAAACATTCACATTTTAATTCTCTACACCACCTACTCAGAATATTGTATATCTGCATGCAGATAAATTACTCTTTTTACAATCATGGGACACTTTTTAAAAATCATTTATGCTTCTGCACAGGCCTTATATTTTTGTCCCATGTGACCTCTACTCCCGTAACTTATACAGCACGTTTACAAAGTTGGACACCACTGTCACTTTCTAGCTCCTGACAGGAATAGGATGACTTGCCACTTAACACAAGGTTTCCTTTTACAAGTCTAGTACCACTTCACAAAAACAATAAAATAAACTTTCCTATAACATAGCAGTTCCTGCCAGAGCCAGGAAGTGACACATGCATTCAACTTTATCAGCGAATGCACTGTATTTTGCTGATTCCTTTGATGTTGTTTTCAAAGAACCTAAAATGTAGACTCCTGAAATTCTAAGTTTCAAATCTCGTGTCTAATTTCCGTTACACAAGTCACTTCAAAGGATCCATCAAAGTCCGAGACTATGTTTGACATTTTGGTTTTTATGATGAGGAATTGCTGATATTGCACCTTCAAGAAATAAACTTACTTCTTAAGGAAAGCTGAGAATGCTTTCACGAATTTCTGCTGATCCACGTCCTTTAGAGTTACGGAAGGCATCTAAAAAAATGTGTACAAATGTACATAAATACCTAACAGTTGCAATGTGTTATACCACACACAATATTTACTCTTAATTACATTTATAAGTTCACATCAACAACTGATTAAACCATGTGACGCCATCCATTTTCAGGGCTAATCTTTAAAAAAACCCAAAATCCAAAAAGCCTTACTGTTCAGATAAGAGGTCCTGTATTATATGTTTGACTACTTTCTGCTTTTACACACCCCTCTATTTAAAATGAAGCGGTTAGAAGACTACAAACATCACAGTTCTGTCCAGAATCTCCTGTTCAGATCACAACAAATTCCTTTCTGAGCAATCACTTCATGGAATAAATAATGTATGCAATGTATATCATCACCTCCAAATATTTTAGTAACAGCGCCAACACCAACAGGAGAACGGAAATAAATGTGCCTGGCAAGTGCAGCACATCTAGTGTAGTACCAATCTTCATCATATGGCGCCAGCTCTTTGAATCTTGCACTTTTCACAAGGTCCACCCATTCTGGCACTTTCATTTTGCCAGTCCTGAGAAGAAAATTGTTAATAAAAACATTCACATTTTAATTCTCTACACCACCTACTCAGAATATTGTATATCTGCATGCAGATAAATTACTCTTTTTACAATCATGGGACACTTTTTAAAAATCATTTATGCTTCTGCACAGGCCTTATATTTTTGTCCCATGTGACCTCTACTCCCGTAACTTATACAGCACGTTTACAAAGTTGGACACCACTGTCACTTTCTAGCTCCTGACAGGAATAGGATGACTTGCCACTTAACACAAGGTTTCCTTTTACAAGTCTAGTACCACTTCACAAAAACAATAAAATAAACTTTCCTATAACATAGCAGTTCCTGCCAGAGCCAGGAAGTGACACATGCATTCAACTTTATCAGCGAATGCACTGTATTTTGCTGATTCCTTTGATGTTGTTTTCAAAGAACCTAAAATGTAGACTCCTGAAATTCTAAGTTTCAAATCTCGTGTCTAATTTCCGTTACACAAGTCACTTCAAAGGATCCATCAAAGTCCGAGACTATGTTTGACATTTTGGTTTTTATGATGAGGAATTGCTGATATTGCACCTTCAAGAAATAAACTTACTTCTTAAGGAAAGCTGAGAATGCTTTCACGAATTTCTGCTGATCCACGTCCTTTAGAGTTACGGAAGGCATCTAAAAAAATGTGTACAAATGTACATAAATACCTAACAGTTGCAATGTGTTATACCACACACAATATTTACTCTTAATTACATTTATAAGTTCACATCAACAACTGATTAAACCATGTGGCCAAATAAGCCATACGCCATGTTTGAACAGAAAAGTTACATTCAACACGCGTACATGTAAATCATTGTACAAGCCCCATTAAAATTAAATTGCAGAACCTTAGTACAATTCCCATTATACTTCTCACAAAGAAAAATACATACTACAAATACTTTTATTTACACATTCCTTTTCCACCTACCTTCCTTCTATCTGCTACCGGAAAGAGCAAATGGTGCTGCTATCAACTTTTAACGGAAGTTACGTTAGCCACAGATTCCCCAATGTGAGCTTTCAGGTTCTCACAGCGGTGAGTCTTTTGGCATGGATAATCATGATAGATATTTCAAGATGGTAGTCTTGAAGAATGTTGCGTCTTGTAGTACGGTATAAGTTTACTTACTTTTCGGCAGTGATTACTGCTTGTATTATTGTCCTGATGAAATGGCACTCCAAACCCAAGCAACAGCTAAAAAACAAGGGCAAACAGCGAATGCCATGCTTGTACCAACATAAAGTATCCACTGGATTAAACATGTTGAGGATAACACAGCAGTTTCATAAAAATGAATTGTGCCTGTCTCGGCATAAACCAAAATGTATTTTATTC